AAGGCTTAAAAGAACGGGACAGACTTAGCATGGTGTTAGAAAGATGGAAATGGCCGGTAAATGTTCTTAGGAAAGGGGATTCCATCAGGAATAAGGCCTCTCAGTCACTTCAGAACTGAAGCCACCTCCTCCAACAACGAAGTTCATAACTGCTTTGCTTGGGTAAAGCCAAAGGTAGGTAAATCCAGTGCTATATCTCTGACAGGAGACAGATAGATGGCCCTAAGAAACTGAACAACAACAACAACAACAACAACAACAACAACAAACCGAGTTGACTCCACTATCTCACAGTCATTGATAGACATCTGCTGAATATAGAGTGTTTTTCTACTCCCTCCGTTGTTCTTTTATACTATATTTCTTTATTTATATTTTTGGGATTAGGTGGGTTTTGGATATTTTCTTTATTTTATTGCTAGAAATCACCCAGAGTAATGGCAACATTAGATGGTGTGGTATAAAATTATAATACATATAAATAAATAATGAATACCTGATCTAAATACTTTAGATAAGACTGACCCACCTTTAAAATTAAAAGAATCCAGTCTGTTTTTCTTTTCTTTAAGAAAATGAATCCAGCTTTTTATTGCACCACTGTTATTTATTTAAAATATTTTTTTACCTCACCTTCCTCTTTAAGAAGGACCCTAGGTGGCTTACATCATTAAAAGACGATATTTAAAGCTAAAAACAGTAATTGTGGCAATTGCCCACGAAGAAATGCTTCTTGTAACTTCTGGCCAAGAAACTGGCCAAATACTCTCAGTTTAGCACTTTATAGCCATGTTGAAAAATCCTTTCTGGAATGAAGAGAGCAGCATTTTCTGCCTTGATTTCTTATTGTGAGGCTTCCTCTTCAGCTTCACCACTCTCCCAGTCTCCATCAAGGAGTGTACCATCCTTCCAATTCATTCTCCAAGAATAGTATTTTATTTAGCTTCTTCCAGATCACTAATGACAATCCTATTACAGACTCAGCTCTTTTCTCTCTCCTTCCCCAATTTCCCCTACTAATGGGGTCTGTCAGGTTCTCCTCCCCAGGTCTAAGAAAGGAGGGCAGTTCCTGTCCCAGATATGCTGAAATAGCAGCTCCTGGTCTAAGTGGCTTAGCACTTTAACAGCTGACCTGGGAGGTGATAAAAAGAACCGGGTCTGAACTTTTGCAGTGGGTGGATGTTTGAAGGCAAGAACATGACTTTGCCTTTGAACATGTGAGCTTAGAAAAGTCTTCCTTTTTGGACTAACTACAACTCCCAGAATCCCCCAGCCCAGCATGTTTGGTACTCTCATGGCTGTGCTGTCTATCGTACATAGGGAATTCTAGGGGGAAATTTCCTAAGTTCCAATTGTTTTATCTTTGCTGTTAGTGTTCTTGTGCTCCTTCGGCTTTCTGTGATCTAGGTTTCAGCTGATGTGTAATTCATTTGGGGCAGTGACCTGTGTCTCCAGGACACTGGAACAATATTGCATCCATTGAGTGGGCTAGATTTAAATGATAACCACAGAAGAGAGGATTGACTTAATTCTCAGGAAACCAAGGTTGCTTGGGTTGAAATTTAAGGAGCTGCAGTTTTGAAGCAAAAAATGCATGTGCTTGTAGAGGTGGGGCCGGATTCTTGCTCTATAAAGTAGTCCCTATTGGATCTATGGGAGAAAAACTGGGGTTTTGATATGCCAGTGCCACACCGGATATTTTCTCTGTCTGAGATTTCCTGGCTCACATCACGAAATCAAGACCGTTTAATGTTACACCGTCCTGCCGCTTCCGGGTTAGATATCCGATATGCGAGACACTTCTTTCGGGAGGAGAGCCCACGGCAGGGATTGTGCTTCTGTGACTCGACTGCAAGCAGTAACTGCAGAAAACTGAGGGGGGGGGAGAGGAAAGTTGTGGTCGTTGTGCGTTTTGCTTTTTTGCATAACAGAAAGGAGAGTATGATCTGAACCATCTCTGATCAGCTGTTTCCCTAGGCTTGGAGATCTGAAGAATGCTTTGCAAATGCCTTTCTGCCCTCTATCTCTCACTGAATCTGTACCTTCCTGAAGGGAAGGAATCCCTGCTGTCCTCTCCTTCTGAAAAGTGTTGTGAGTGTGTGTTAGGAAAGCAATTTAAGCATCTATTTTCAGACACAAAAACATCCTGAGGGACTGCAGGCAAAGTTTGCCTAGCTCTTGTAACTTCATTGGGAGAGTTCAGAGGGATGGCCCAGGATTATACATTTTAGTGTGCCTGTTGTCTTTCTTCCTTTTCTCCTGAGTCATGTTTTGGCACAGAATCGGTTCAGAAGCAGAGGTTTGATGGAGGCATCTTGCAGCATCGTCTGTCACCTGCACAGTTACAACGTGTCATTACTGAGTTGCTGCTGTGTGGCTTGTTTACAAAGGCTTCACTGCATTGTGGAGACATTTGCTGGAGTACAGCTGGCGCTTGGGTCCCACAATCCCTGCTGTCAGCAGAACACCAGAGTTGCAAGGTATGTGCTGACATGGTTTGTTTGTTGTCCTTGGGATTGTCATCATCATCCCATCAGGTGGAGTTGCAGAGAGCCAGCAGTGGCTGGAGTGGGGGGGGAAATCACAAAAAATATTTGTCCAAACACCAGCTTCTGGATATGATGGGATATGAGCCCTGTGTGTTACCCTGAAAGTAGCAGGCTTGTCTGATTTTACTCGCTCAGCAGGATAAGGGCTGGTTAGTGCTTGGATGGGAGACTACTGTACCAGAGATCTCCTAGTAGGGCTAGGAAGAAATCCTTACTGAAACCTTGCAGAGTTGCTGTCGAAGTTTATCATTGCGGATGTTCTTTCTTTAATGGACATCAGCTCCCAGAATCCTCCAAGAATTCTGCAGGAGAATTCTGGGAGTTCAAGTCCACAAATCCACACCTGGAGAGCCTAAAGGGCAGCAAGACTAGAACTCTCAGTAAGCACCATGGTGTCTTCCTTTTTTGTACATTAACGGGAAGCAAGGCATGAGACAGCCCTGGAGAACTGGGGCTTGGTCCAGGTGAGCAAAATGTAGGCAGATAGAAGCTGCGGACTGAAACATCCACATTTTCTCCATTTCTCTGTCCAAATCCATGTGGGCTGTGGACTCAAGGTCTGCCTTTTCTTTGCAACCCATGTGTTGCATTTTTGCCAATTGAGCAAAATTGAATTTAATAGAGTGTGTGGTCATTTCTGTCCCTTTGAAATGGGATGGCAGCAAATGAGCAACGCAGCATATACTGGATTACTCAGCTATTTGTCTCTGTCAGTGGGAATAATATGTCAAGAAGGAAAAAAATAGCAACTGAAAAGCAGAAAGGGTGGCTTTTTCCTTTTCTGTGATTTGGAAAAATTACATTCGACAACTGAATTCCCCAGTGCTCGGTGTATGGGTTGTAATCCCCAAAAGTAATTTTTGAAAACTCAGTTCCTCTCTCCCCCCCCCCTTCTAGCTTGATTGAAATCCTGTGCTTTTACAATGTGTCAGGCAGAATGTGAAAGAAACTTGGCTTTTTATTATTGGCAAAAGAAATGTACTGATTCAGTGGGCAAAGTACTTCTTCAACTAAGTTTGTTTTCCATGCAGCTGTTCAACATTAGCAGTTAAAGACACAGGAGTCCTTTGAAAAGAAAATGTTGACAACCCTTCTGGGTGGTAGCAGCAGTTGTGGACTTAGCTGACGACCCTCAGGAGGTTGAGTTGCTGACTCAGTCTCCCATAGCTTCTCTTTTGTTTCTCTTTGCATGTCTCTGAAGGAGGATTTCTGTCTTCTTAATGAACTTCAAGGAGGGTGTTTATCCCATTCCTAATTGAGATCTGGCTTCAGGCAGCCTCAATTAGCCTAGTAATTGGGCTCAGGGAGACCTACCATGTTTATGTAAAGCTGCAGCCTCTGGGAGAGATGGAGATTGAGAAAGGGGAGAATAAGAGTGAAAGGGAGAAATTGAAAGGGGCTGTTGCGAGGGTGGCTGGATTTAAGTGGAGGGAAAAGTGGCCTTCCTGAAACTTTCCTGCTGTCTTCTGAACTGCCAGCTTCCTCCAGTGCAGTTTTGTAGGGACTGTGAAAGGGTTGCGACTTGACTTTTTCCCCCACCAATGTTCTGGCTTCTGGGTCTGACAGATCACTGGCACAAATTGCTCAGAGGGTCTTGTCAAAAGGTCATCACTATGGGCCAGCACGAGAAGACTGAGTAAACTGCTCCATAGCGTGTCTGAATGGCAGGTCACCCCCTAACCCATAATGCTTTAGGTGTGTATTCTGATACACTTATTTGAATGAATTTTCTTCCAACTCTGTTTTATGGCTTGTGGGAACACAGCTTTGTTGGTGGACCTAGGCAATGATTATATGTGGCAAGAATAAGAGAAATTGGATGCCAGCTCCCTTCCACCCCCGCCCCCAAGTTTTAAAAAATGGTGTGCCATAACTCTTAGGCTGTTGTGTAGTGCAACAAGAACTGAGCAAGACTGCAAGGCAAAAGACAAGTTTCCAGTTCAGTGGTGCCTTGCTTAATGATGATAATCCGTTCCAGGAAAATCGCCGTTAAGCAAAAACATCCGTAAAGCGAAATAAAAAACCCCATTGAAACGCATTGAAACTCGTTCAATGCGTTTCAATGGGGTAAAAACTCACCATCCAGCGAAGATCCTCCATACGGCGGCCATTTTCGCTGCCTATGTAGTGAGGAATCCGTCCCTATACAGCAGGGAGCCATTTTAATTACCCAATGGCCATTTTGAAACCGCCGATGAGCTGTTAGAAAAACATCGATTTGCGAATAATCAGTTCCCAAAGCAGGGAACCGATCATTGCAAAACAAAATTCCCCCATTTAGATCATTGTTTTGCGATGGCAATTGCGATCGCAAGAAGATTGTCGTAAAGTGGATTTGTCGTAATGCGGGGCAATCGTAAAGCGAGGCACCACTGTACTGTCCTTGTTTAGAGACAGAATGGCAGGGAAGCTCTATTTTTTCCTTTATGCCACTTTTTTCCCTTCCCCCAGGTATACCTCTGCTGGGATGTCTCTTTGTGTTGCCGTTGACCATTCCATGGACCCACATCTCAGAATCGTGGCTGGGTATAGTGCACTACTTCGCTTGTGTCTGTCCACAACTGGGAAGCGTGCTCTACCACCTCTTTATGAACCATGAGGGAGGCCCTGCTATCTATCATACCCTGCTTACCCTTGATATGTGTGGGGTATGCATGATCAACACCCTGGGTGAGTTTAAAGCGGCACATGTATTGGCATAGGAGAGAAGAGAGGTTAAGTCGATGGCATTAGCTCCTGAAAAAAGTGGGAGCATAGATGACTGTTCCTGATGTGGATAGTGCAGAGCAGAAAAAGGGAGAAGAATGATGAATGGAATGAAGCACACATTCCACTGGTCTGGGTGTAGCGTAGTTGCAATGTGTGGCATTGGTAAGCTTTTTTTCCTCCAAGTCATCAAAGAAGTAGGGCTAAGTGTGGGAAATTGTGCATGGTATGGAGAAAGTGGGCATAATTAATATTAGATCCTGAGGCATTCAGTTAACAACTGTGGAAGAGATTTGGGACCTGTAAAATGAAGCACTTCTTCACACTATGGAACCCACTGCCACAGGGTATAGTGATAGCCATCAACCTGGATTGCTTTAAAAGCAGGCAAGACATGTTCATGGAGGATAAGGCAATCAATAGCTACTGGTCAGGATGCCTATACAGTGGTGCCTCGCAAGATGATTTTAACTTTAAATTCGTTCCATGGACTGTCTTGTGAAACCTAGTTCCCCATTAGAATGCACTGAAATCTATTTAATGTGTTCCAATTGCAGAAAAAATAACTATCTTGCAAAACACAATTCCCTATACCATATTGGGAAAAAAACGATCACCTGCACTGCCTTTGGAAACTCAATTGGTCTCAGCTGGCCTTCCCCCTCTTTCTCTAACAATAAAGAGGATGAAAGGAGTCAAAGCAGCCCCCTGCTTCTTGATAATGGTGACTCCTTTTCCCCTCATCCTTTACCATAGGGGAGAAAAATGAAAAAAAATGCAATATTAGACATCACCAGGACATGCTAACTTTGCAATAAGGCCTGATGAGGAGAGAGATGGAAAAGAATCTAGAAGCAAGAGGAGAAGGGGACGACAGAGGATGAGATGGTTGGACAGTGTCACTGAAGCAACCAACATTACTCTGACCCAACTTCAGGAGGCAGTGGAAGATAGGAGGGCCTGGCGTGCTCTGCTCCATGGGGTCACAAAGAGTCAGACACAACTAAATGAACAAACAAAGGACATGCTAACTTTGCAATAGGGCCTGATAATGAGAAAGAAAAATGGAAAAAGAATATAGAAAAACCAGAGAAATCACAAGTACAATCTCCCATTAACACAAATTATGCAGTTGAGTTTCCCATATTTGGGGAAATCACAGGGATCAGCAGAATACCTAAAGTGCAATGGATAAACCTCCCCCTGGGAAAGCCACTTTTATGACATGGTATTTCCCCTGCAAGGTATGAGTTGGAATGGCCCTTGCACCTCATGGGAAATACCATGTCAAAAAGTGGTTTTCCCAGGGGAGGCTCATCCATTGCATTTTGGGTGTGCTGTTGATTCCTGTGATTTTCCCAAATGTGGAGAACTCAACTGCATGATTTGTGCTAATGTAGTAGATTACATTTGTAATTTCCCTGATTTTTTTGCAATCTCTTTACTCTCTGGTTCTTGTCTGTTTTCACCATCCTCTATCATTTAAATTTTCAGCCATAGCCCCATTGGTGATGCTTTGCAAGATGGTTTTTCCCCTGTTCATTGAAACACATTAATTATATAAGATGTACTTTTTTTACCCCCAAAAAGTGGGGGAGAAAGTGTATGCTGCTGGTTTTTTAGGAGGCAGACCCTGGAAAGCCAGCAGCATATACTTTCTCCCCCATTTTTGTGGGATAAAAAAAGTAGGTCTTATGTAATTAATGTGTTTCAAGGGGGGGGAACCATCTTGTGAAACAGAGTCAACCTCCCCCAAGTTGCCCAATCATTTTGCAATTCCTTGTTTTTTTCTAGCGAGGCACCACTGTGTATTACAGTACTTCCAGAGGCAATATGCTGGTGAATACTGAATTCCTGATAAGAGGTTGCCTTATGTAAATACAGTCATGGCCAAAAATATTGTCACCCTTGCAATTCTGACAGAAAATGCAACACTTGTCTCATAAAATTGTTGCAGTTGCAAATGTTCTGGTACTCACATGTTCATTTCTTTGGTTTGCATTGGAACAATACAAAAAAACAGAGAAGAAAAGTCAAATCTGATACAATCCCACAAAGAAACCTAAAAACGCACTGGCCAAAATTATTGGCATCCTTAACTTAATATTTGGTAGCACCCCCTTTGGAAAAAAATAACTGAAATCAGTCGTTTCCTGTAACCATGAATGAGTTTCTTACACCTCTCTACTGGAATTTTGGACCACTCTTCTTTTGCAAACTCCTCCAGGGCCTTCAGATTTGAAAGATGCCTTCTCCCAACTGCTGTTTTGAGATCTCTCCACAGGTGTTCTATGG